TCCATTTTAGTGTTTTGGTGGCTAGAAGAAGAAGACGAAGAAGAAGAAGAAGAGGTTCTAGAGTGTTGGTTTAGCAAGGAGGCTTTATCATCATCATCTTGTGCACATTTTGGACCATTGTAAGTGTCCAAAATCCAATCTTTATGAGTTCAAATTGGTAGATCTAAGTTCTAATGTAACGCCCGGTTCCTGGTATGTATTTTAAAGAAAAATTACTCTCTTTTGTATAGAAACTCGACGAGTTGGAGGCCCCAAACTCGTCGAGTAGGAATGAAATTTGAACACGGGATGCGAAGCCTACTCGACGATTTGAGAGCCTCAACTCGACGAGTAGGACTACCATAATGAAACCCTAATTTTCAGGGTTTAGCACCCTATTTAAACACCTTAACTCCAAAGGTTGGCCTCATTTACAGCCTCCATCGTCCTAAACCCTAGCCACGAAACCCTAATACACTTTTGAGAGTTTTGAGCCATTTTTGGTGCATTCTTGTGGTTTTGAAGAAGAAGATACTTGAAGAAGGGGCAAGGAAGTGTTGGAGAAGAATAGATCTAGAAGTCTAGCTTCATTTCTAGTTTATCAGAGGTATAAAGCTCCTATCTTGTCTATAGTATGCTTAGATCTAGTTTTAGGGCATTTTCTCCATATTTTGGTCCAAGAATGTTAGATTTTGGGACTTGGACGTCCCAAGTGAGTATACCATCAGATCTGGAATCATGGAGGGCTTTCATGGCATAAAGGTGCAAACTTTATGGCCATTGAAGCCCCATGCAAGCTATAGGATGTCATTTTGGCCTTTTAAGCTCCAAAAGGCCAGGCATGGAGAGAAAGGTGGAAGATTTACGTGTTCATGTAGTGTCTAGGGTCCAGATCTCAGTTTATATGCTTTAGCTTGGAGTATTGATGGCTTATGGACCAAGATCTAGGTCCTAAAGAGTTAGGGTTTGAGCTAAACCCATTAAGTAAGGGTATTAACGGGTAAAGTTGGAAACTTTACCCTTAAAAGGACATTTTTAGTATGTAGTGGAAGTATGGAGCTTGGATCTGAAGGATAAGGACTTAATCCATTAAGATGGCTTAACAGACTCGAGAACTCGTCGAGTCCATAGAGGAACTCGACGAGTTGGGTCGAAGTGTCCCGAGTCTGTAAAGGGCAAAGCTCGACGAGTTCAAGGGTGACTCGACGAGTTGACTGGAGAAGTCTCGATTCTATGGATAGGAGGGAACTCGACGAGTTGTGAAAGAACTCGACGAGTTGGATCGCGATTTCAGTGTTTATGATTCATGGAACTCGACGAGTTGATGGACCAACTCGGCGAGTTGAGTCAACCCAGGATGTTGACTTTGACCAGGGTGTTGACCTTGACTTTGACTTTGACCAAAGTTGACCCGTAAGAAGTTATGAGTATGAAAAGGTAATTAAAGGAGTTTTTATGTGTAGGAGTTTCAGTGGAATTGATTTCGGAGCCGAGGGCAGTTTAGCTACTTCACGACATTTGAGGTGAGTTGCCTTCCAGTAGGAGTGGGTCAAAGGCACCAATGTCGGCCCACTAGTATTGATTATAGTTGAGATGATTGTCTTTGTGATAATTGTCTGGTATGCCACTATTTGTTATGCTTTATGTGCTAGTATGTTATGTTATTATGTGATAGTGGTAAGGAGGGTAGGATAGACCATGTTACCGGTTAAAAGAGACCGAAGGGGGAGGCCAGCACCTAGATATGCTAGGCAGTATGTGATTTATATGTATATTCTAGGGTATTATGTGGTAGTGGTAGGGGTGAAATAGTCCCCGGTTACACGTTGAAAGAGACCGAAGGGGTAGGCCAGCACCCAGATATGCTAGGCAGTTATCGGTTGAAAGAGACCGAATGGGTAGGCCAGCACCCAGATATGCTAGGCAGTTACCGGTTGAAAGAGACCGAAGGGGAGGCCAGCACCCAGATATGCTAGGCATTATGTTATTGTATGGTATATGGTATGATGGGGGGAACTCAATAAGCTTTGTGCTTACAATTTTCAGTTTTGGTTTCAGGTACTTCCTCTTCGAAAGGAAAGGAGTCGGCATGATCACAGCGCATCACACTACATTTTCCACACCAGAGATCTTTGCGATTTATACTCTGATGATGTTTTATCATGACATGTTTTGATTATCGATACATTGGCTTTTGATATGAGTGATACAATGATTATTTTCAGACAAATGGTTTTATGATTATTATATTAAAATGAAATTTTTGGACCGTATTTTTGGGATGTTACATCTAAGCTCCTTTTTGCATGTTTATGTTGGATTGCATGCTTGGGATCCATAAAGTTGGCAACTTTATGGATCAATGAGTCATTCTCTATAATTTAGTCTTATAGATATGAAGTGTGGTTATAATTTATGAATCTTGTTTGAGTTTGGGGCCATTTCTTGTCATTTTGACCTAAAATGGGTTTAGGACATGCTTGGGGCATGCATGTCCATCAAGTAATCATTTTTATTGGCCTTTGGAGTCCTTGTTAGCTTCTGAAAGAATTAGGATTGAAGGCTTGATGGATTAAGAACTTAAAAGTTGGATTTTTAGCCTCAAACTGTTCTTAGGACGTGAGAAGCGTTTGGTCCCGTTTCTGGTCATCTGTTTGGGGCTCAAGACGAGAGGGCAGCCCCGTTGACTTTCCCTTGACTGAGTTGGCTAGGTTGAGTCGGGATGAGTTGGGATCTGATTGAGTAAGTTCTCACGACGTTACCAAAGCTAGTCACGATGTGATATGTGGTTTTTGGGCTTTTGGACCTTGTTAGGCCCTAGTTTTCTGTTTGTGGGCCTTTTTGGTGCTTGGGCCCATTTGGAGCTTTGGGTATCTTTTAGGAGGTTGGTCCATAATGGGCTTTTGATGCTATTGGTGGGCCTCGAATTTTTGGGCCAAGTGAGGAAACGGTAAAATGGACTTTTATCTAAGATATTCTGTAGTTTGAGGTGAGTCTTCCTCACCATGTTTAGCGGGTCAAGGCACCAATGTCGACCCAGGGTTTATTATGTTAAGGTGCTAGATGTCTGTGTTCGTATGCTTAGTGGTTGGGGCCCAAAGGTTATTTTGTATGCTATTATTTGTTATACTTGCATGTTTGTATGTTGGGCGGGGCCCGTTGTGCGAGTTAGGGCGAGGCATGTTATACTCAGTAGGCGGGGCCCGTTATGCGGGTTAGGGCGAGGCCCGTTACACTCATTGGGCGGGGCCTGTTGATTGACAAATATGTATGTTAGGCGGGGCCCGATGTCGGGTGAGGCCCATTATGTGTTAGACATGTATGGTATGTGGTATTTTAGGGAACTCAGTAAGCTTTGTGCTTACGGTTTTTATGATTATGGTTTCAAAATTTTCGGTTCGAAGGGGAAAGGCCCGACTTGATCGCAACGCATCCACCCATGTTTCCGCATTATGATGATTTTGGGATTGTACTATGATAATTGTTTTCTTATAAAGTACTTTTGAATATTTAGAAAAAAGGATGTTGAATTTTGACTTAAAATATAATTAATGTTTTGATTGAATTAAAAAATGAAATTTTTACCTCATAATTTTGGGATGTTACATAATTACTAACGAGGCTTTGGTTGATGACAAATACCCCCACATCCACTTTATCCATTTTGATCCAAACTCGATTTGCGACATAATCGAATCTAAGAACTCCCAATTGACGGAGTCAAAGGCTTTATCAAAATCTACTTTGAAGAGTAGTAGTTCTTTACCGATCTTTTTAGCCCACGAGCATACTTCATTAATAATTAAGGGGCCGTCCAAAATGTTACGACCTTCAACATACGCAGACTGTGTTTCATCTATCACTCCCCCAATTACTGTCTTCAGTCTACTAGCAAGGACCTTCGATATGATTTTGTAAATAGAACCAATAAGACTTATGGGACGGTAGTCTCTTAGAACAGTAGGATCTTTAGTTTTCGCCGCCAAGGTTATAAAGGAAGAGTTGCAACCCCTCCCTAGTGTTCCATGTGCTTCGAAGTATCTAACAACATTGCTGATTAGCAACCAAAATGTATTCAGAAGTTTGAATGTCAATCCGCCGGGCCCCGGGGCCCGATCCCCCCCCCCCCCCCCACACACACACACACACACACACCCCATACAGTTTGACTTCCTCCAACGAGATGATAGACTCAATACGTTTTAGCGTCCTCTTGGGACATAGTTCTGAATAATGGACTGATTAATTTGGGTCTTGTAGGCCAAGTTTCATTGAATTTATTTTTGAAGAAAAGAAACGCCTCTGATTTAATCTCCGAAGCACTGGTAGACCACCTACCGTTTATATCAAACCATTAATGCGATTATTCCTGGCTTTGTTGTTGACATAACCATGAAAGAAATTTGAGTTCTCATCTCCATCTATTGTCCATTTAATCCGTGATTTTTGTTTAAAGTCCAAAACCATCCTCCGTGCATGCTCCATTACCTTTTGCACACCTTCATTTCTTTCACTAAGTTCAACATCAGTTAATGGCCTCGACTCCGCACAATCTTCCAAGAATGTTATTCGAGATTTCAAAGTCAAAATCTCAAGGTTTTCCGCCTTATACTTTACATTACTCCATTTCCAAAGTGCTTGTTTTAAAAACTTGAATTTCGCCAATAGTTGCCCGAGTAGCATAGCCTCTAAAATTGGACCATGTCATGTGAACTACTTCATCAATTCGATCTCTAAGTAACTATTGGGGACCATTTAGCGACATAGAACCTAGCATCTATCACACAGATTATCTATTATCTATTAACAAATATAAAGGGTAAAATATTCAAGGTATAATGCACCAACAAGAAAATAATTTGAAATGATGTAATAAGAAGAAATAAAGTTACCAAACTATTTATTGAATTTTAACCCATGATACTGTAAACAAAACTTTTTCTGTTTCAAATATTACTCACATATGATGTGTCTTTTTGGTAATTTTACGTCCTTGAAAACTGTGTTTTTACTATGATGAGTTACTGGATCAATCCATGTAATTGCATACTGAAAAGATCAGCTAAAGCGCAACGAACATCCATCTGAAACAAACCCATTCATATTCTTTTAGTGAAATGTCTAAAATACCCTTCTTGTAGAAGAAGGGGGGAGTGAGAAATGTTAGTTACTACCTGGTCACAGCATACGAGCTTAGTGATCAAAGGGTAGAAGCTTTCAAGGTGTCTCCTGAATATCTTGTTGTCCATTGAGCACATACCCTTAAGCACCTAAAAACACACACAGAGAATATACCATTGTACTTTCAATTTTTTTTTATTTATATAGATATTATACGTTCAATAAAAGGGTTAATATCATAAATGGGTAACAAACTATCTTTTTTTTTTCACAAAACACCATTGTTTTAAATTCTTTTAATGGTATTTTGTGAACAAAAACAAAATAGTTCATTACACATTTACGCTACTTTTTTAACACAATGGTGTTTTGTTAAAAAAAACAAAAACAAAAAAACAAATAGTTCTTTATCTATTTATGACATTAACCCTTAAAAACCCCAATTATAGGACATAAAATTGCTTTATATTTGGGTGGTATTGTTGTAATAATGCAGATTTTTCAAGGGTTAATCCAATAAAAAACCTTATAATTTGTGTTTTTTCCAAATTAAACTTCAACTTTATTTTTTACCAGAAAAAACCTTGTACTTTTTCATTTTTTCCAAAAAAAACCCTCTGACTTTGTCTTTTTTCTGAAACAAAAAAACCCTCAACCTTCTAACTGCTTCCAAATTAACCCTCAACTTTTTTAGTATTTTCGGAAAAAACCCTCACTTTTTACAATTTTTTTGGAAAAAAAAAGACTAAGAGCCAGATCAGAAAAAATGAAAAAATAAAGGGCTTTTTCAATTAAAAAAATATATTTGAAATTTAATCGAGAAAAAACACAAAATGTAAGGTCTTTTTTTAAATTAACTATTATTTTTTCCTATTTCTCAAATATATTTTAAATACCATTTATCCAAAAGTTGTCAACAAAATTCGTTTTTTCGTTGCTTAAACTCATAGTACATTTCAATAACACAGCTTTTAAAGATACCAAAATTGGTCCCTGTGGTATTATCCTAAAATGTGCAGTTTGAGTCCATTTTTTTTCATTTACACAATCAGCCCAAAATTAAAACTTCCATCCCTGTTATATCCCAAAAATTCCAGATTCAGTCCCTCGACGTCTAAAAAAACGACTCAAACTGCACTTTTTGGGATACCAGAGGGACCAATTTCGCAATCATAACTTTTAAGATACCAAAATTAACTTCACACTAATTTCTAAAAAAAAAAAAAAAAAGTACAAAATCAAAATACCTTAACAACAATAGGCGAACGAAGTTCAAGAACTTGATGAATCTCCATATTATTAGCATCTCCAATACTCGATTGAAAATCAGAAGCTTCTTTCAGCACTTGTCCACAAAACGACGCGAGCTTTTCTTCTGCATCGACTTTAACCCTATCATCATCATGATCATGATCATCATGATGATGATCATGATGTGGTGATGTTACAGAAGCTGTCTTTTGTAGCGCATCTAAGTAAATGGAAGTTCCTGTTAATTCTTGGCGAAGGAGGTTTAATGGAGGCCTGAATGAAGATAAACTAGTTTGAGTCAGAATGATTAAGTCGATTGTCTTCTGAATAGCATCTGAATCCCTCCTCCCATCACTATACCAATCTTTGATCACTCTACAAATGACGAAAATACCCTTACAAACTAAAAAGGAAACTTTTTTTTATTTTTCATGACATGGATTGTTGTGGAATAAGGAAAAAGGGTAAAAATGGAAATTTTTTTTTAATGTGGCTAACCTTTCGGGAGGAACATGTTGCATTCGTAACCTGAGGTTATTGTAGGAATTATAGGATGCTGCAAAGTCTAACATGGAGAATAAAATTTCAAGAATTGTAATCTTTTGATCACCCTTCAATTTGCTCCAGTATTTTTTCTGCATGTTTACCAGATATTAAATTTAAAAAAAAAAAAAAAAAAAAAAAAAAAAAAAAAAAAAGTCACAACTTACTTGTAGTATTTGGGTTAATCCAAGAAAAGACCTTATATTTTGTGTTTTTTCAAGGATTAAATATTAACTTTATTTTTTTTCTGAAAAAGACCTTGTATTTTTTTCATTTTACCGATTTGGCCCTTTTAGCCTTTTTTTTCCCAAAAAAAGTTGTAAAGTGTGAGGGTATGTACGGAAAAAACTAAAAAAGTTGAGGGTTTTTTTCGGAAACAGTTAGAAGGTTGAGGGTTTTTTTCGGAAAAAAAGTTTAATCTCATAAAAGACTTTATATTTTATGTTTTTTCCAGATTAAAACTCATTTTTATTTTTTTTCATGGCAAAGACCTTGTATTTTTTTTCATTTTTTCCAAAAAAACCCTCAACTTTCTTTTTTTCGGAAAAAAACCCTCAACCTTCTGAATGTTTCCAAATAAATCCTCAAGTTTTTTAGTTTTTCCTGAAAAAACCCTCACATTTTACAACTTTTTTGGAGAAAAATGACTAAAAGGGGCCAGATGGGAAAGAATGAACAAATGCAAGGTCTTTTGATAAAAAAAATAAATAAAGATGAGGTTTAATCTAGAAAAAAACACAAACTATAAGGTCTTTTATGTAATTAACCCAAAAAAAAAAAAAGACAAAGTTGAGGTTTTTTTCAGAAAAAAATACAAGATTTTTTTTCAGAACAAAAAAAATAAAGTTGAGGTTTAATCCGGAAAAAACACAAAATATAAAGTCTTTTATAAAATTAACCCTTATTATTTTACTAATTTAGCCAGTTAACTACTTTCTGTAGTAATTACTAAACCATTGTACTTTCTTTGACAACTTAAAAACCATTTTCACTGAAAAAGGTTAAAAAAATACAGAAAAGTGAGATGTAATTTTATGTCATTTTACAATTTAGCCACTGAACTATTATTTTTATCGATTTTGCCACTAAACTATAATTAAAGGGTCTGTTTCTCTATGGGTAATGATATCTATCTAGATAAAGTGTTGTATACATAAATTGTCTGAATGAGATTAAATGACCATTTTACCCTTACATTCCAAAAAACAAATTTCACATACCTGAATGATATCAAGGGCTCCTAATAGTAGCAATTGAGTTATGCATTTGCTTCTTATTGTTCCCATAAATGGACTTTCTTCATCAAATTCATTCTCCTCTTCATGAGCCTAAAGATTACATAAATTCAATTTGGATTTTGGAGATAATAAATAAGAAGTCAAAGAGTGAGTCAAACCTTAGATGGGGAAGGTGGAATTAGGGCATCCAAAATCTGGTTTTTAGGTTTAGAAGTGAAACTTCTAACAAGAAGACTATCCTTCATGTTTCCCATTAATCTTTGACCTACTGTTCGAGTCCTTTGTAAACTTGCTCTTTGAGGAGATTTCTCAACATTTTTGGATGAAGGAGTTTGACTTTGACCTAAAAAATTAAAAATAAAAATGTTTTTTTTTATGAATAAGATAATATTATTAATCTTTTAAAATGGGATTTGAAAGTTACAACCTTCTGATTCTTGTGGATCTGTTGATGGTCTGTCATCTTGATGATCTTTTCCCACCATTAATAAATTTTTATCTGTCAAATATAATTAATTTATTATTATTATTCTACCTTCATTTGAAAAGGAGAGATTGAGAAAATAAAATAGCAATGTATTTTCATTTTTGTGTGAATTAAAGCATCCTAGTTTCATTTCTTTCTATAAGAGCATTGTAATTACTATCTTTTTCTTACTATAAAGGGTTAATAGGATAAAAGACCTTATATTTTGTGTTTTTTCTTGATTAAACCTCAATTTTATTTTTTTCCCTGAAAAAGACCTTGCATTTTTTTATTTTTTCCGATCTGACCCTTTTAGTCATTTTTTTTCCAAAAAAAAATTGTAAAATGTGAGGGCTTTTTCGGGAAAAACTAAAAAAGTTGAGGATTTATTCAGAAACAGTTAGAAGGTTGAGGGTTTTTTCGGAAAAAAAAAGAGAGACAAAGTTGAGGGTTTTTTCGGAAAAATGAAAAATTCAAGGTCTTTTTCAGGAAAAAAGATTAAGATGAGCTTTAATCTAGAAAAAAAAAACACAAAATATAAGGTCTTTTATGAGATTAATCATCTAGAAAAATTGTTCTTTTCATCTTTTGACATGAAAGTCCTTAAGTTTGTCAAAAATTGTCGGTTTTGTCCTTGTGACGATTTTTTGTTCGTTTACATCCTTAAGTTTTCCAAGTTTTTTCATTTTTGCCCTTTTTACCTGTAATAGTAGGTTTTCATGTTACCATTAGATATAATTTGCAAAAAAGCCCTTAAGTTTACAAATCTTTTGCAAAAAAAAAAAAAAAAAAAAAAAAAAAAAAAAAAAAAAAACCTTAATTCGTATAATATGAAAAATATTCTTAGGGTAAAAACATAAAAGATTTGTAACGTTAAGGGTTCTTTTGCAAATTATATTTCATGGTAACCTGGAAACCTGTTGTTACAAGTAAAAGGAGTAAAAACGAAAAAAATAATAATAATAACTTGGAAAACTTAAGGACATAAATGAATAAAAAATCATCACAAAGAGAAAATCAACAAAACTTGACAAACTTAAGGACTTTCATGTAAAAATCCTTTATTGTAATTTAGTGCAAAGTAGAATGTTGTAATAGGAAGAAATGAAAGTATAATGCTAGAATATTAATAAATAAATCAATAAAAGTACATTGCTATTGTCTTTTTAAACTTTAGAAAAACTCACCACTAGTAGAAGGAGACATAAGAGAAGGACTACTACTACTTTCTGATTGAACTTTCAAACCTCCATCCACAATCGAATGACTCTTTGTACTTTCAAGGCTCAAAGCATTGAGAAGCTCAAGGGGTTGAGTGGTGTAAGAAGCATCCCTATTAAGTTAAGTCAGTTGACACAAGGGCAAATATGTAAAATCTCATATATATCAACATATTTTAGCTTAAAAATGGCTTGAAAGTAAGAAGAAGCACCTTATGCTCTTCAACAAGGTATCCCAATCAGCACCAATGAATTGGTGTCCTCCAACTTCTATAAGATGAACAAGTGCTCCAAGTGATATTGAAACCACGGATTGATCCGTCTTTTTCGCACAATCTACTAGTAGATTTAGCAGTGGAGATAGCATGAAACACACCTCCTACATCACATGTATGAGGGCAAAATCGTAAAAGTACACAAACTTAATCCTATAACTTTCTCTATCTTTAAGTAAGTCATTATTTCTATATTAAGTCAAAAGGAAACACCCATACATAGAGACTGTTTCTTTTTTCGACTGGATGAGCAAATGACCATTTTACCCTTATGTTTAGGAATTATGTTGAATTCAAAAACAGTCCATTTCCTCACTTAACCCATTAAGACATGCTTTACTTTTTCCCAATTAAGTTTATGTTTCTTTTCTATACAGGATAAACCATCTGAATGAGACAAAAAGACCATTTTACCCTTACATTGCAAAACAAATTTCACAATATTCATTAACATTAGTGTCTTCTAACATTAAGGGAGGTTTTAAGGCTTAACCCATGAAGTCATTCTGTCAAAATTAAGTCAAAAAGAAACATTACCATAGTGTTAAAAAGCGTTGTTTTCTTTTCTAGACAGGATAAACCGTCTGAATGAGACTAAATGACCATTTTACTCTTACAATGCAAAAAACAAATTTCACAATATTCATTAATATTAGCATCTTATAACATTAAACCTATGTTTTAAGGCTTAACCCATGAAGTCATTCTGTCAAAATTAAGTCAAAAAGAAACATTACCATAGTGTTAAAAACTGTTATTTTCTTTTCTACACAGGATAAACCATCTGAATGAGACTAAATGACCATTTTACCCTTACATTGCAAAAAACATTTTTCACAATATTAGTGTCTTATAACATTAAGGGAGGTTTTAAGGCTTAACCCATTAAGTCATTCTATCAAAATTAAGTCAAAAAGAAACATTAAAATGGTTACATAATACATACCTTATAAAATGTGTTGAAAAGGTTACACAACAACTGAAGAGAATGAACACTAGTTTCACGAAGCCACCCATCTTTCTTAAAGCCTGGAGATTCTTTTCCAGCATGTCTCACATGATCAAAAATAGGAAAAAGAACTCGGTGGAAAATACTTTCCCAAAATGTTGGAGTAAAATGGCTTCCTCTTTCATTCAACAAATCAAACAAAACCTCAAGTGCACATTTGCTGACCTCATGTCTAGGGTCAGATGTTAGGTCAGATAAACCAGCCAACATTGGGAACCAATAATGCTCAGTGATATCATAATTTGTATCCATATTTGTATGAATTGGTTTTAACTTTCCACCTGGTATGAGTCCCTATAAGAAGATTATAATTTATAATTGGATCTTATTGTCTTTGTGTAGATTTAGAAGATGCATATTTGAATGTTCAATGCAAAAAGGGAAATCAATTTTGGTTATGTAACTGGATTTTAGTGTCTTTAATAGTAGGGATAAATGCAAGAAATTGCAACGTATGTAGAGTACTTCATTTATTTGTTTATTATAAGGATTGATCTCAAAAAAGACTTGTGTTTTTTTCGGATTAAAACTCAGATTTATTTTTTGCTTGAAAAAGACCTTGTATTTTTTTCATTTTTTCCGATATGGCCCTTTTAGTTTTTTTTTTTTCCAAGAAAATTGTAAAATGTCAGGGTTTTTTTCGAGGAAAAGTAAAAAAGTTGAGGGTTTATTTGGAAGCATTTAGAAGTTTGAGGGTTTTTTTGGAAAAAAAAAATACAAAGTTGAGGGCTTTTTTGGAAAAAATGAAAAAATATAAGGTCTTTTTCAGGCAAAAAATAAATTTGAAATTTAATCTGGAAAAAACACAAAATATAAGGTCTTTTTTTAGACCTAATATTTTATGTTTTTTCTGGATTAAACCTCAATTTATTTTTTGCCTGAAAAAGACCTTGTATTTTTCATTTTTTTCCGAAAAAGCCCTCAACTTTGTATTTTTTTCCAAAAAAAAAACCATCAACCTTCTAAATGCTTCCAAATAAACCCTCGACTTTTTTACTTTTTCTCAAAAAAACCATCACAATTTACAATTTTTTTTGGAAAAAAAAATGACTAAAAGGGCCAAATCGGAAAAAATGAAAAAAATACAAGGTCTTTTTCAAGCAAAAAATAAATTTGGGGTTTAATCCGGAAAAAACACAAAACATAAGGTCTTTTATGAGATTAACCCATTTGTTTACTATAGCATCTTATCTTTATTTCTTTCTATTACAACATTATACTTTTAGTCTTATTAAGACTTTGTATTTTTCAAAGCACAATGTTGTAATAAGTAAAAAATGAAAGTAGAATACTATAATAAACAAATAAATGAATATTAAAAAAAAAAAAAAAAAAAAAATACAAACCTCTGCAAGTCGATCCTCACATATACGAAGAAGTGCAATTGCTTTCAAACTGATTCGATGAGAACTTTTACTATTTGCAAAACTAATTAAGCAATTGACACAATCCATAAAACAATCACCAACAACTTGATCAAAGTGCTCCAATATAACTGTAAATTTCTTTAAGTTAGATATGATACACTAAAAAAAATAGGGTTACATAACATACTTTCACTTATTTGTTTATTATAGATTTTTTAAAGTACAATTATGTGATAATGATAATAAAAAAAATTGACAAGGATCAATGCTATAAATGAGTAGATTAATATAACAATATTGTAATAGAAAGAAATAAAAGTAGGATTCTATGATAAACAAGACCTTGTAGTTTGTGTTTTTCTGGATTAAACCTCAAATTATTTTTTTCCCTGTAAAAAAAATTGTAAAATGTGAGGGTTTTTTCGAGAAAAACCAAAAAAAGTTTGAGGGTTTATTTGGAAGCATTTAGAAGGTTGAGGGTTTTTTCGGAAAAAATGAAAAAATACAAGGTCTTTTTTAGGCAAAAAAATGTTTTTGAGGTTTAATCCCAAAAAAAACACAAAATATAATGTCTTTTTTCAGATTAACCTATAAACAAACAAATGAAAGGTATTGCATATTTGCATTTAGCTCACAATAATATGTATATTTTGGGTATAAAAAAGAGCTATGAAATCTCAATTTTTGGGAAGTCCCATGAAAATTGCAACATTTCAATCTCTTGAAAAGTTTTAAGTTAAAATTACCTATTTGCCCATTGTCATCATTGACAAAAACTAATGATTTTCATTAGGGTCCACAAGATATCTTCTTTTGTTATTATTATTCCACTCCATTATAGATACTTTATAAATCATCAAATGCTCTCCTAAAATTATGGAATATATATATAAAAAAAAAAAACATCAAAATACCTTGTTCTACATTCTCAAAAGCACTTTCAACAATTGATTCCAGCTCATCACTAGCAGCAGCTGTAAAAACCATAAACACACTTCTCCAGCCAGATTTAATGCTTCCAACTTTTAATTTTGTCATCTGTTTCAAAAACCAATAATACCTTCAAGCTCCTGTTTCTTTTTGACTTAATGGACTCAATGGAAAAAAAAAAAAGACAAATTTGCCCTCATGATTTATCTATACCTGAACAATGCAATCGACAATCAATCTCCTGATTGATTCAGCTCGAGTGATTCGCATTAAAATAACAAAAGGTTTCAAGATATCATTTTGGAATGTGAAATTAGCAAGTTCTTCACGTTCCAAATATTTTATCCCAAGTTGTCTTAAAGAATCAATGGCATACATTGCAATTTTCTCATCATGATGACTTCCAGCAGCAATAAAATGGTTAGAAAGGATATACCATATTCTAGCCCATACCTGGATTTATAAACATTTTCAGTCATTAAAAATTAGTGAAAATAAATACATATATTCTATTCATTACATCATACTAAAAGTTAACAAGAGAACTGCTAAATGATTTATGCAACTTCTTTCTAGCTAAAAAGAAGGGTTAATTGTAAAAAAGACCTTATATTTTGTGTTTTTAAAACTCAAATTTATTATGTTTTTTTCATTTTTACTATCTGGCCCTTTTAGTTGTTTTTTTCTAGAAAAATTGTAACATGTAAGGGTTTTTTCGAGAAAAACTAAAAAAGTTGAGGGTTTATTTGGATGCATTTAGAAGGTTGAGGGTTTTTTCGGAAAAAAAAATACAAAGTTGAGGGCTTTTTCGGAAAAAATGAAAAATACAAGGTCTTTTTCAGACAAAAGGTTTAATCCGGAAAAAAATAAATAAATAAATATAAAATATAAGGTTTTTTTTTAGATTAACCCTAGAAAGAATGCAAAACTTTCCACTTTGGGTGATCCCCAAAAAATTTTCAAGGTTTCCTTTCTTGCCCCTTGGTGAACTTTCCTTGAAAAATCTTGATTATGCTTCATTATTTTTTTTAGGGTAAACTACAAATATCATCCCTATGCTTAAGTCAAAATTGCATATTTCGTCCCTAAAAGTAATTTTTTCACTCGGACCATCCATATGGTTTGGTTTTGTTTCAGTTTCGGTCCCTGACCGATATAAAATGACCATTCTGCCCTTATCTGATTTTTTTTAAACTTTTTTTTAATAATTTGTTTATTATCTATATTGTTTATTCCTATTGTCAGCTTACTAGATAAGGGGGTGGGGTAGGCCCATTTAATTTGAGAAAAGTTATAAATAATAGGGTTAATCTCAAAAAAGACTTTATATTTTTTCATTTTTTCCAAAAAAGCCGTCACCTTTGTATTTTTTCCCGAAAAAACCCCTCAACTTTTTAAATGCTTCCAAATAAACCCTCAACTCTTTAAGTTTTTCTCGAAAAAAAACCCTCACGTTTTACAATTTTTTTTGGCAAAAAATGACTAAAAGGGCCAAATAGGAAAAAATGAAAAAAAAATACAAGGTCTTTTTCAGGCAAAAAACAAATTTGAGGTTTAATCTGGAAAAAACACAAAACATAAGGTCTTTTTTGAGATTAACCCTAAATAATAAACAAATCACAAAAAAAAAGTATTTTAAAAAATCATATAAGGGCAAAATAGTCATTTCACATCCATCACGTACCAAAACCAAACCATAGGGACAGTCTGAGTGAAAAATTTCCTTATAGGGGACGAAATATGTAGTTTACCCTTTTCTTTATTTCATCTTTTTCATTAAATACAAACACTTTTATAAAACTATGTATCAAGTAAATAAAATTTTGTAAATAAAAAAATAAAAAAAATTATTACCATGCGAATACGAGCCATATTGTAGTAACTAATCTCCACAAGTTTCTGCAAGCTATAAATACGAGGTGGAGTCTGCTTCAATTCTTCAGCTGAAATGTTACATAAAGCAGAAAAAAATTCCACCACAGATTCACTAGGGAGTTGAACACTGTTTAAAAAAACTTGCTCAGCTGGTTTCCCAGCCAAGTCTTTAAGTGAATGGACAATTGTGTCCCTGGATATTTGGTTAGATCCATGCATAACAGTAGCAGTCATAACAGGGTTAGATGTGGTATATTCTAGCCTTGATATGCATTCAAGAACTGCATTCCATGTATCTTGAAGTGTATCAGGCTCTGAATCACATAAATCTAAAAGAGTTCTTAATGCTTCAACGTTTTTACTCAGCATATCTCTTGGTGCATGTAAGAAAGTGAATCTGCAGTTGTATAAATAATTACTTCAGTTGTAAATTAATTAGCTTTTAAGAAATGAATCTTTACTTGATTTAAGGAGAATTGAGAAATTGAGAAATGGAATGGGGCCCACAAAATGGTAAATGGTATGAACAAATAACATAGTTTTTAGGAAAAAAAAAAAAAGCAATGTACTTTGCCTACAGATATGATCAAAAAATAAATTTTAGCATTTATTTAAATCTAAGAAAATTCCACATCATGGGTGTTTGTATACATGGCAGGTGATGTGGACGATGAAGTGGCAACAACCAACACCATGTCGAAACTGAAAATATGTTGCAATTGTGGTTAAAAGTAAAGTACATTGCCCATAGAATTGAGATTGTGGGTCCCATAAACTTAATGTGCTGAGAATTGAGTTGGGGCCCATGAAATGGGTATGGAGGGTAAAATGGTAAATGGTAGGAAACAGCAACGTATTTGCCTCTTTTACTGATATGATCAAAGATAAAGTTTACCATTTATTCAAATCTAGGAAAATTCCACATCATGGGGTTTGTTTTGTTTGTATACGTACGTGGCAGGCGATGTGGACAATGACATGGCAACAACCGACGCCATGTCATCATTTATTCAAATCTAGGAAAATTCCACACCATGGGTTTTCTTGTATACGTGGCAGGTGATGTGGACGATGACATGGCAACAACCGACGCCATGTCATCATTTATTCAAATCTGAGAAAATTCCACATCATGGGTTTTGTACACATGGCAGGTGATGTGGAAGATGACATGTCAACAACCGACGCCATGTCATCATTTATTCAAATCTGAGAAAATTCCACATCATGGGTTTTATTTGTTTGTATACGTGGCAAGTGATGTGGACAATGACATGACAACAACCGACGCCATGTCATCATTTATTCAAATCTAGGAAAATTCCACATCATGGGTTTCATTTGTTTGTATACATGGCAAGTGATGTGGAAGATGACATGGCAACAACCTACGCCATGTCATCATTTATTCAAATCTAAGAAAATTCCACATCATTGTTGTTTGTATACATGGCAGGCGATGTGGACGATGACATGGCAACAACCTACGCCATGTCATCATTTATTCAAATCTAAGAAAATTCCACATCATGGGTTTTGTTTATATACGTGGCAGGTGATGTGGACAATGACATGGCAACAACCGACGCCATGTCATCATTTATTCAAATCTAAGAAAATTCCACATCATGGGGTTTGTTTGTTTGTTTGTATACGTGGCAAGTGATGTGGATGATGACACGGCAACAACCGACGCCATGTCATCATTTTTTTAATAGGTTTCAGTAAGTAGGTTGCTATTTCTCAAAATCTACCCAAAAAAAAAAAAGATTATATTTAGTATTTACCTGACTAATGAAGTCAAAAAGGCATATCGCATGGTATCCATTCTAAGCACATGTGTAATATAAATTCCAGCTTTAAAACCTTCCATACAAAGAGCAACACGTGCCTTAACTTCCTTTTCCTCCATTGTAACAGAAAATGTAGCAAGTAAAGGCCACCCTACAGCTTCAACCATAGGCTTTATAAGCTCAATCCTTTGTGAAGTATAAAAAACACCTCTTTTTGCTCCTTGAATCCTATATATCTCCTGTGTTTTTCTAATAATACCTTCACTCTCACTTTTATCAGATAAATTCCTCAGTTTTGGAAGAGCTAAATTCAAAATACCAACAATGCCCCCGCCTTTTTCTTCTGTTTCTGTCTTTTGTTTATTGCTTTTTCCAATTGTAACATTTTCGTCTTTCATTTTGATCTCTTCTTTAACTATGGAATCGTATATTTCTTCAAGAAGATATGTTGGAGCACATTCTTCAGGGTCATTTGTGGCATTCATGCGCACAAAATCAGATTTTGACATTTTAGGCCACACCATTGGATTATGAGCATCTGTGTTTAACATTATGACTGCATATGCAAGAACATATGCAGTATCTGCAGACTTGAAAAGACCTGGATTATCTGCACAATATCTGCAACAATGGCAATATATTCAAGAAAACTTTTACTTTCAATTATTTGTTTATTATTGCAGTTTACTTTGAGAAATTACCTAATTACAACATTGTACTTTCAGTTTTTTTTTCTTATTGAAACATTGTGTTTTTAGTTTCTTACTTTATTAAGGTATTGTACTTTGAAAAATGGGTTAATCTCAAAAAAGACCTTATACTTTGTGTTTTTTTCCCGATTAAACCTTAAATTTTATTTTTTGCCTGAAAAGGAATTTGTATTTTTTCGTTTTTTCCAAAAAAGCCCTCAACTTTGTATTTTTTCCGAAAAAAAAAAACTCAACATTCTAAATGCTGACAAATAAACCCTCAATTTGTCTACTTTTTCTCGAAAAAACCCTCCAATTTTACAACTTTTTTGGGGGTTTTATGCAGAAAAGTCCTATTATTTTGAGAAAAATTTTGATAAAGTCCTAAAAAAAATTTGAACTGGAAAAGTCCCGATTATTTAATTTTACACAATAATCTATCATTTCCTGTTAAAATAAAAATAAGAACTTTTTCGTTAATTTTGGCAAAATATTTATTAATCTGGACTTTTCTGTTCAAAAAAAAAATTAGGACTTTATCAAAAAAATTTCCCAAAATAATGGGACTTTTCTGCATAAAACCCATTTTTTTTTCAAAAAATGACTAAAAGGGCAAGATTGGAAAAAATGAAAAAAATACAAGGTCTTTTTCAGGCAAAAAATAAATTTGAGGTTTAATCTATAAAAAACACAAAATATAAGGTCTTTTTTGAGATTAACCCTTGAAAAATCTACCAAAATTAAAACATTGAAATTTTCATTTTTTTTTCTTATCAGAACATTATACTTTGAAAAATCTACCCATATACAGAATTGTAAATTGCTATATACGAATCTTGTCTTATATAATATAACAATATAATATGAATCTAAAATCAAACAAAAAAAATAAAAATTTATATTACCTTTCTGCATATTTTTCCATTATTCGATCAATCTTTTGTGCTTCTCCAGGAAGTCTAAACCCTTTAAGAAACTCACGAATAGCTGTATGAAATTTCATTCCAGAAAAATTCATGGAGTCAACATAAGCATGCATTACAGCAAGAGGAAAGTCTTCATGTTGACCCAAGTAATCACCAATCATAGCCTGAAAGTCAACTCTTTCATATTTACTTATGTTTAAACCTTAATTTTTACAAAATAAGAAGATGTACCTTATCCAAACTGGATGTGTTTCTGAGAAAAAGTGCAACTGCAACAGGTGTATTGTCCACTAACCTATTTGCTGTGAGAAATCCAATTCCCCTTGCAGGGTGTCTGTTGAACTGTATTTTATATATGATAGAAATAACTCAATAAGTTTTATTGATTTGTTTATTATAGCATCCTACTTTCATTTCTTCTTATTACAATATTGTACTTTGAAAAATCTTATATAGTTGGGTGGATTTTTTATATATAATGTCTAAAAAAGAAAAAAAAAATGGAAGTACAATGTTATTAATGTGTATATAACTATATATTTCAAAGGAAAATGCCTTAATAAGAAAAAAAAATGTAAGTACAATGTTGTAATAGAAAGAAGTGAAAGCAAGATGTTATAATACAGCATTTTCATTTTTTTTTTCGGGTTAATCTCAAAAAAAAAAAAGCCTTATATTTTGAGTTTTTTCCGGATTAAACCTCAAATTTATTTTTTGCCTGAAAAGACCTTGTATTTTTTTCATTTTTTCCAATTTGGCCCTTTTAGTCATTTTTTCCAAAAGAAATTATAAAATGTGAGGAGAAAAACTAAAAAAGTTGAGGGTTTATTTGGAAGCATTTAGAAGGTTGAGGGTTTTTTTCGGAAAAAAAAAATACAAAGTTGAGGGCTTTTCAGAAAAAATAAAAGGTCTTTTTCAAGCAAAAATTAAAATTTAAGGTTTAATCCGGAAAAAACACAAAATATAAGGTCTTTTTTGAGATTAACCCTAAGACATTATATTTTATAAAATCTACCCAATTATAGCATTTGAGTACATTTTTCAAAGTAGGATGCTATAACAAACAAATCAAAAAACGTATGTTGCTATTTCTTGCATTTATCTCTATTCCAAGAAAAGACACATGTTTTGAGACCAAATTTTTTCCAAATTGATAGCATTTGTTATTCAGCTAAAAGGGTATCATATATTTTTCTCAAATTCACAAGGAATCTAGAGTTACTTTAAACTTCAAAAAAAGCATTTGAACAGAGTATCAAAGATTCAAATACCTCAGAGATGGCTGCTTCCATGGTGGATTTTTGAGCCTTAACTTTCTCAAAATTACTTGTTAATCCATTGCTATCTTTTGCTTTTGAATCACGAGGTGTCACATCTCCATGAACAGATTGTCTATCTTTGTCTTTATTCTGCTTTGATTCTCTTCGTAAACTCTCCCATTCAACAAGTGATTTCAACACATTCACAAGGCACTATAAAAGACCAAGGGCAAAACCGTAAATATATTAAATGTTTGATAAGTTTGTAGCATCAATTGTTTCAAACCTGAAGTGAGGATCCTTTAAGTGTTCCAGTTTGGATAGAGTTAACATTGTTAGGATCCAAATCTTGTGTCCCTTGAGCTATTTTGGAAAGAGTTGTAACCTAAATTTTAATGAAAAAAAAACACCATTTAAGAACAAAACACATATGCAGAAGTTAATAACTGAATAATTTATAATCATAAATCATAATACCATTCTTTCAAATGAATTAGGAGCCTCAAAATCACAATCATAGTTCACATATAAATCAATAAGCAACTGAGGATCCTTGCAAATCTTCTCTAGCATCCTGTTATATAATAAAATCATGAGTAACTTACAAATGTGGTCCCTTTTCTTTCTGATTTTTACCGTGTTTGATCCAAAACTGAAGCTTTTTTTCAGTTTTGGTCCTATTTCAAGGTTTCATGATCAATTTTGGTCCCTGGGACCTTGAAACATGGACCAAAATCGGTATGTAACTTTGAAATAAGGACCAAAATCAGAAAGTCTTAGGGACCAAAACCGATATGAAACCTTGAAATAAGGACCAAAATTGAAACTTGTTTCAGTTATGGTCCTTATTTCAAGGTTTCATATCGATTTTGGTCCCTGAAACCTTTAAATAAGGACCAAAATTGAAACTTTTTTCAGTTATAGTCCTTATTTCAAGGTTTCATATTGATTTTGGTCCTTGAAACCTTGAAATAATGACCAAAATTGAAACTTTTTTCAGTTATAGTCCTTATTTCAAGGTTTCATATCGATTTTGGTCCCTGAAACCTTTAAATAAGGACCAAAATTGAAACTTTTTTCAAATATGGTCCTTATTTCAAGGCTTCATATCGATTTTGGTTCCTGAAACCTTAAAACAAGGATCAAAATCAATATGAAACCTTGAACTAAAGACTAAACCAGAAAGTCCCAAGGACCACAACTGATATGAAAACTTGAAATAAGGACCAAAACTGAAAAATATCTCAATTCTGGACTAAACACCATAAAAATCAGAAAGTTTACAAGGACCATTTTTGTAATTTACTCTAAGTTCCTTTAGCAAATTAATGGAGCTTGATCATCTCTATTTAGAATCTCATATTTCAAACTTTGGTTTGTTATAATTCTGTGAATCTGAATATAGTAAGCAGAAATTATACCGAATCACCATTAATTTGAGATTCAAAGGACATTCTGAGCTATCCAAAGGTCTCAAAACAGTAAGAGGGAAGAAGATGCCAATTTCAATCTGAAAATTGATATTAAATCATGTTGATTGAAGTGAATCACAAAGAGATGAATACAACACATAGAACAGTTATATGTTATAACTTGCCTTAAGTCCTTCCCTAAATCTCAACAAAAGCACTGAAAAGATCCCAGCTGCATACTGTAAGAAAAAGGATACACATCATTTCCAAAATCCATAATAGATTTATAAATGAAACAAAATAAGAAAAGAAGAATGGAAATTGAAGGTTGAAAATTTTCCTGAAAGATTGTTGAAGATGTTGAAACAGATGCCCTCAATAAAGCATATGATAAGTAAGCTTTGACCGAGTCAATGAAAGTGAAGTTCTTAGTAAATGAGTAACTAACACCCTCTAACAAGCCCTGAAAAATCAACAATTTGATGCTATAAGGAAGAAATTGATGGAATTGTGTTTATATTTATTGCATTAAACTTTATCAAGAAAGACAAGTTATTAGTAATTAGCTGCTGTAAATAACCTGTAGAAGTTCAAGAGATAGAATTCGTGTCTTTGTGGTGAATGCATCATTATCTTCTTTCATACTCATCTGTTTTTATAGCATAAATCAAATCAAGAATCAAATTTTAAACGAAAAAAATCAACAATTTGATACATAAAAATTACAAACCTTGCAAAGGGTGCGAAAAACAAGTAATGCATCACGTTCTGCAATGCTCATGCTCTCAGAATCAACCCCACTTAAAGAATATAAAGTTCAAAGGATAAATTAGAAATTACTAATTGATATGTTATTATTGTAACCAAAATATATAAAAGTTTTCATCATACATATATATATATACATACCTAGTCTTTCCATCATCTTCAAGTTGCACAGCCTTGTCAAGAGCTGCCTCCAATCCCTGTAAAACAAAAAAGTCAACCATCTTGATCTTGATCTTGACTTTCACAAGATTTAAAAAATAAAAAATAAAAAATAGGGACCTTTATGTCATTTCCACCAGCAAGATTCTGAAGCTCTTCAAGGGGTGCAATAGAATTGCTGTTGGCAGTTGGAGTCAACATTTGGCTATCATCATCAACTGATAAACTTTCTTGAACTCTCATGAATGCATCACTTTTTTTGTTTATAGGTGAATCATCTGAAGACACCTAAAATTCAAGAAATACAGTTATAAAATAAATAAATAAATAAAAAGTGTAGTGGATAATGTATAAAATAGTAATGAACATAAATTTCTAGAGTACAAACTGAATCGTTGTCCATTCGCCTGAATACTATGCTGATCATTTGAGTTAACATAGCCTTGGATGTAGCTTGGTTGACAGGACTTTTACTAAAGAATTTGAAAAGAAAATTTATTAGTTTAATACTTTAATTTGCCAAAGTGGAATAAACATTTAAATATAAATTAATAGTTACCTGTTAAGAGCAATATTATAGCACACTCTAATTACTCCCATCAATGGTTCCCCATGAACTGAAAAAAAAACAAAAATGGTATTTCAAAAAGGAATTTATAGCAACCTGAAGTGGCAGATTTGAATGCTTATGTGGCATATGATGTGGCATTGTCATTGTGTTTGATTCTTTAACTAAACATTTATAAATTGAAATTATAGATTCTTTTTTGTAAATTGTAACAATGACATGATTCTTGCTAATTAAAGATTCATTTTTTCAAAACAAACAAGAAAATGATAACAGAAGTAAATAACAATAGAAGAATAATAAATTAATAACATTAATAACAGAATCCTTTCAAGCATTTAAAAATTACCTCTGAACTTGGCAGAAGATACTGCAGTAAGTAGCACTTTCAAGACTTGAAGAATTGTACTACATGAATGCATACAAAAGTTGTCATAAAAGTTTTAAAGTATTTGAGAAAGTGAGAAACAATCAAGTAAAATAAATGAAAAGAAAAAAAAAATCGAAGGATATACCTATCAGGTGAGTTATTATCAACACAACTACACACCATGTTCAATATGTCTGTAAACAATGGAATATTTTTTCCATCTTCTAAACCAGCATCACCTTCTAGATGATCATAAGCAATGAGTTTCTGCATTTACAAAATGTTTGTTTGAATATATTTATAAACAGATATTTTGTTTCATTCAAATACACTAATCACAACTTTCCATAAACTTGTATGCAATATAATAACAAAATCTCTAAAGTGTGAAAGATCCTAAACTTTCTGAAACAAAAATGTTAGTGAAACACATCTATAAAGTATAAGTGGTTAAACCTCAAAACTGTCAAACATATATAATGGTTTTTCTCTAGTTTCCCTCTATAATATCATATAATTAAAACTACAAGAACTAAATAGAAAACAACATACATGAATACAATCCAATGCAAGTTCAATAAGTTTTGGATTCTTGGTTTCAAATGCAAGTCGAAGTGGATTAAGAACAAGTTCCAATTGAGCTCCTTCCAAAGCACATCCAGCATTTGCCAAAGTCTTTGTGATGCCTCCACTTGAATCATTTGTTTCTGACTCCACTTCACTTCTTGGAGTCCCATCATCACTGCAACAAAGCTCCATTTTGATAAATGAAACTAATGTTAATTAAGTTCATATTACAAGATCTCACCCTCTCAATAAACAGACATGTGAAGCCCCTTTTTCATGCCTAATATTATGTATACAAGTAGTTATAATTTACAGTAGGCACCTCTTATCATTAGTTGAAGGTGATTTGTTGCTATTACTTGATGTTGCCTCTTGATTGGTTGCTTTTGAAGTATCTGGAAAAGCAAGGGGAATAGAACAATCAATGTTTGTTTCATACAATGAAGCTAAATCATGGAAGATTACCAAAACTTTCACAAAATGTACAAGGTCTTACTTCAGAATATAATATTTTTCATGGCTACATTCTCATAACATGAGTATTCAATGAGAGTTGCAGATATAAGTATAACATTTAGTTTTCAATGCCAAACATAAATAAGTAGTTATTGTGACTTGAAAGTTGAAAATTGAAATCACTATAATCAGTTTAAACACACATCCAAACATCCCCCAAGTCGCTATTTATGTCAATTATATAGAGTTTTCATTTCATCAGTCCCATTTTAGGGTGCCATTAGAGAGGGATAATGTAATTTTGGGTCCATTTATAGATAAAAATGGTACAAATTGATGGAAAGCTTGAATTTTAGAACGATATATCATCTAAATTAACCTTAATGACAAGTACTATAAGATAGCATAAAGCTGATTTATAATCTGCACGAAGCCAAACACAAAATTGTGTGAAAGTTTCGTTTGAAAAACATCAGGTTCCATGTCGATATAAAATGGCAGTTTTTCATCAAATAATGCTGGCTAATAGAAATTCCATTTAATGTAACACATAAAGCGGCTAACGAATTACAGACGTTGAAGCACACAGTGAATTTCATAATCGGGATATGCGTATCTCGAAGAAATCTAATAGATGAAACAAAAACAGAATAGAAATACAAACCTAGATAAGAACGGATTGCAGTCTGAATAGAATTATACTTTTTCCCCGAACATTCTTTGAGCATTGATTCAAATGCCCGAGTAAGAAAACCTCCCGCAGCACCTCCAGCCATTTTGAATGCTGTGGATTTTTCAGGGAATGGGAGGTCGATAAGTTGAGAGATCTGAATGAAAGATCATGAGTGAGGATCACTCTCTCATGCTGTGAGATCCGATTCTTGTTCATGGTGGAACAAATCAAATTAAAGAGTGAATTACAAACGTCCCCTTTCCTGTTAATTTGCAGTTTCGGTAGCTTCGATATTTGCTCTGTTTTGACATTTTTCAAATGAGAATTTATAGCTTCTTAAATATTGCATAAAATGAGTGAATTGCATAAATCATCCTTGGATTTATACCTAAATCACAAGAATCGTCTCTTGTTAGAAAGTCTGTCTATTTAAGTCATTATGGAGCAATATTTTGAATTAGATCAAACGATTCAAGGAATCTTCACGTTTTAATATGTGATTAATTAAAAGATTTACATGTGATGTTAGTTTAATTTCTTTGTGGATTGTTATTAAAAGGAATTTTGACTTTATTGGCTATCGAAGTTTTAAAATTGTCACCTTTTGCCCACTAAAATTCGATTAGTATTAATTAAGTCCTTAAACTTCCAACTTTGTCACCATTAATCCATTGAGACATTATATAGGAGGTTCAGCAGTTTATTTTTCTATGTACATGTCGCGTAGGCTAATTTTGACCGCCTTCATCCACGTGTTGTCCACATGGAGTTTAAACTTATTTTTTTTATAAAGTTAATTTTATTGGGACAAAACTATGAAAATTAGTAAACATCAGGGACCAAACCTGTAATTTACTCTTTTGATTAGAAAACCATCGACTTACCGCTAACCACTGTCATCTTCTCAAACCACCACCACAATCAACATCTAACTATGATTAGAAGTTATTCGCTAATTTCTTCTTGAAACCAACATCAATCAACGACGGATAAAAATAATAATAATAATAATAAACTCACTTTCACTCTCGTACAATTTTCTCTACGTTGATTTGAACGTGTTGTGTAAGTGTTGTGCAGTCGTTGGTTGGTGGTCCCTATAATGTTTCTACTAGTGACGTCCGTAGAGAATTGTGGTTGTGTGATTAGTGTTCAAAAATAAATATCAAATATGATTGATATTTATGAGGTTTTGAGTCTTACGTAGATTTGAGTCTTACGTGGATCTGAAGTAAATATTTATGAGGTGCTTACCAAAAGTTTTGAGGGTTCCAAATTGTTTTTCCTTGTATTTTGAAACTTTGATCTTCCTTAAGTTTTCAGACAATCTCCAAGCGCTTTAGTCTATCGGCTACCATATCCAAGTTCAATTGTGCACAGGGGCGGAACACAAACATCAAAATTGGAGGGGCCGAAACCAAAACATAAAAAATCATATACACAATTTTCTTTTTTGTTTTTCTTGATTGATTTTCCATGCTAATATACACTATATACCAAATGTATCTAAGACTTAAAAACAATATAATAAAATAACAATTCCAAATACATTTTGCAATCTATTAATATATTTTTAATTCAGTAAATGATGCAATTGATTATACTAGATCGACAATTAACAATTTAACCAATATTAAAATAATATATCAATTAATAAACACATTTTATCAAACAAAATCTTTCTAAAATTCTAATTCAATTTTGTTAGATGACCTCGATTTAGAAAAAAAAAAGTATCTATCTTTTTAGATTATAAAACTGAATAGGTTAAATAATAACATATAACAAGGAGTTGTCAGTCTACTTTTAGCTTTTCAGATTTTTTGTTTTCAAAGACAACTATTCATCTTCGATTATGAGTTATGACTTGTGAAAGAAAGAGAAAAAAATAGAAAGAAGTTAAGAAAGAGAATGAGAGCGTACAAGTTTTTTTCTCCGGTGGAGAGAGCCATGTGCCTGAAGGTCGCCGGTCGGAGAAGTTGGCAGGTGTGACAAATGCCATAGACAATATACGGTTAGCACATGGAGGTGAGCATAAAGGGCACGAACGGCGGCGGTGATATTTTCTTGTGAGCTTGGCAACCCTTTTCCCAATCGCAACAAAGATTTTTTTTAGGGTTTTTATCATCCCAAATATCAACAACTAGTATATCTCTGAATAGTTATTTGTTTTTTTATTGCTTTAGTTTCCTACTTAAATGATATCCTAATATGGTTTGAAATTTTCAGTGATTTTCGTGTTCCTAGTTAAATACTTATATAGTTTCTTAACTTATAAATCTCATAATCTTTATATATATATATATATATATATATATATATATATATATATATATATATATATGCCTAGGTTATTCTATTCAAACTAATTATTGTATTATTGTATGCATAAATATGGGTCAATCATTTTACTTATTTTAAGAAAGTGATTAATACATATTATTGAATTAAAAATAATCGAAAAATACCATCTAATTTAACTAGAAGGGTATTTTAGTCAATTAACATAGATTTAATAAAGGAAGTTTGCATATTTTAAGGGATCATAGATTCTATTAATTTTAAAAATCTGATTTTACGAATTATTAGGTTTTTAATTCGGACATTCTGACAGAATATGTTTGAATATATTCAAAAAGTAAAAAAATTCTTGAACCATAAAATAATAAAAATATTCTTGAACATATTTTTCTTGTAGAATAACAAATTCTCGAACCAGCAATTGAAAAATTAAAACAAAAATTATATTAATTCTTATAGAATACATGTAACAATTGCTAAGAATTACATTTATTGTTATAGAATAAAACTAAAACACTTTCAAATCGGGAAAAAAACATCAAAATCTAACAAATACACTAATTTATTCTAAAAGAATAATGTTGCTAAGAGGCGTCGTTCAAATTTCGTGGTCCGTTCTTCAAGCATCAACTTCTGTGGAAACAAATCCAATGAATAAATTAGTGAGAAAAAATCTATATTCCATTCCAGCATAATTGGAATTCGTGATTCCATTCTGATAGAATTGGAATTTATTTACCAATAATTATATTAAATCGGGGCATTCTAACAAAATATGTTCATGATTATCATAAAAAAACATTCTTTTCTGATAGAATACTATAAACGAAGAAATACCATTCAGTTGAAGCATTTTAGCGAGCGCTTGGTGTGCATCAAAACAACTTTTAATTTCGGATGAACAACATACATAAATTGTTCATACCACACCACCCCCAAATCACTACTTCTAAGAAACAGAAGTTGACGCAACTAGAGGCTGCTAAAACAAAAAAAAAAAAAAAAAAAAAAAAAAAAAACTAATTTCTTCCTTCTTCATTGATTTCCTGTGAATCAACAAACCCAAATTCCCTTCATTTTCATTGATTTCCCAGCAAACCCAAACACCCTAACGATTTCTATTAAACAAACAAACAAAATCCAAAAAGAAATTTTTACATGTGGTTGATTTGGAACTGCCAAAACAAGGAAACATCGTGATCTTCAAGCAAACACCACCGAGGTCCTCACCTACGACACTTTTGGTCCCTGATTTCGTTGGTTCGTAGTGAGATCGTTCGTATCATGAGATACACAAATTTGATTTTGACCTTTTGCTTGACTGGCACTTCAATTCCGAAAATGTCCATTCTCGTGAGAAACAGTTCCGAAATTAACTTCATATCCCCTCAATTCCGATTGCCAAATCGTTTATTACCATAAGAACGGTTCAGATTTTGACCATTTATTTCCTTAGTTCCGATGAATATCCAATCTAATTCCGATTCGTACCATTTATCAACACGATTCCGATTTGAGCAGCTAAACACTTTTTACTTGATATCAATATTCAGAAAAGAGACATCCAATTTTAGTTCCAGATAAAAAAAATGATTCCCGAAAACAAAAATTATCACAACCATATCAATCGATTGACCAAAATCGATGAAGAACAAATCAAACAACTTGGATTCGATTGTCTGAACATGAACAAAAACTTGATTTTGACTATTGATAATAACAATTTTGGAATCAAGTCAATGAACAGAAGATGCGACAAGCAGAGAGAACGGGAAAGAGAAAACATTTACCATTTAGGTCAACGAAAATTGATCTGCACGGAAACATATCACGATGGACGATTTGGACTCTTTGAATCGGATGAACAGTAGGCGTAACATCAGTTGGAATAATCGATTTTCAGATCCAAATAGAATAAATTGAACAGTAGGATCGAACACAATAAAAACTTGACTTTGAAACATAGATTTATTGAATCAAAAGACTTTTGTCTGAAAACAATTCAGATCCAAAAAAACAGAAAATATACCACGATGAACAGCAGAAGAATATCATAAATCTTCATGAACAGTCAATGGTTACCATAATTATAGGATATTATTTGTGGAAACTAGTTATCAAATTACCTATTTACCCTTATTTATTTATTTAATTATTTATTTATATTTTAAATTTTGATTGGCTCACATTTATGCATACAATAACACAATAATTAGTTTAAACAAATGAACCTAGCTATATATATATATATATATATATATATATATATATATATATATATATATATTTATGTTTAGTCATGTGTAAAAACAAAGTCAAAAATCTTGGAGGGGCCATAAGATAAATTACAAGTTGGTTAAGTGTATATACCTGTATGATAACTCAAAAAACAGGGGGGCCATGGCCCCCTGTGGCCCTCATGAGCATCCACCACTGATTGTGCATCAGTCTAACCATAATTAAACATAAGTGATCAGTCTACTATTAGTTGTGGTTCGGCCTACATACAACAAAACTTAGCTAAGGCATTTGACCTAAAACCTTACATTGTACTCTTGATGAGGGTTCAAGCTTTCTATATGTTCGGGTTGTATATACATGTGTTCTCATCGTTGGACTGAGTTCATATATAACTCTATATCTCGTATTTGTTGTGTTTGTGTTAGGTCTAGCTGATAAGGCTCCGGTCAGTCAGGATAGTCAGAGGGCGGACCCATTTTGGCATTTAGCCCTCCTGAAATCCAACAACTCAAGCAACACATCCTTCCTTACATCGCTCTCGTCAGTAGTTCTTCAGTAGTA